CTACATTTTTAATACCCCGTGTAATCCACTTACTTTTAATAGTTTTATTTGTTATTTTTACGATAATTTTAGGGAAACACAAATTATAAAATGAGGTAAAAGTGTCATGAAAGTAGTTGAAAGCCAAATTAGTATCTTCAGCCTCATATACATCAGAAAATGATAAGGTCGAAATATAGGACAGAAATTTTTTCACGTTTTCACTACTAAGGTCTCTTTTTTCCTCAAACTAAAACGATTTCCTAATATGACTTTTATTTGTGTTTGCCTGAAAAGTTATTGTTTGACAAGTTTCATGATCTGATAGTGCTAAAAAGTGAATATTTGGTTGTACATTAGGAAGATTACTGGCAATCAAATCAATACACGACATTTTTCTAGTTGGTTTACAAATATGGTTATTTAAGTTGTGATTGTATAAAATAGAATAAAGTTTTTTGGAATGAATATCATTTTTCAAAATATCTATGTTCAAATCTCCACAAACTATAATTATTTTATTATTTTTCTTAGTTAGTTTATTTAGAAGTTGTTCAAATTTTTCAAAAAATAATTTTATATTAGAATTTGGAATCCGATATATACACTAGATATATACTTCGATAGTACAAAAGGTAATTTGGAACAAAAAGCCAGAATACCTTTTCGAAAAACTCACCTGAATCAAAGATATTTCCTGTCGAAGTATTCGTTTTCACGCACAAATGCTCCTCCACACACCCGCACACAAAACAGCAAGATATAGAAGTTGTTTCAAATTCAGTGCAGCGAGAATTTGGAATGACCTCCCCCACCCATGAGAAAGAAAATGTCAATAGATTGCTTCAAAGCCAAGTATAAATTGGCTCTGTTAAAAAGACAACTCGCTGCAGAGAATTTGAAACATCCCTATGTTAAGTTTTTACATTTACGGGGCTTTTTTGTCAAAAATTAATAAGGACACACACACACACACACACACACACACACACACACACACACACAATACACACATATAAGTTCAAAGAAAGGAAAGTTTATTTTACATTTTCTATTTCTCGTGTTGTTTTTGAATCTGTTGTTAGTTCATTTCGTAAAGGTTCTTTTATGCATATTTTTAAATGTTTTTATTTTGTCTTTAATGTCTTTAATCTTTTTTTTGTATTTGCGATTTAATATTTATGTAATATTTTTTTAATTAAAAAAATATATTGATATAATATTTAATTACTTTGTACGTAGTTTAAAAATATAAGTCAGGTAAATGGGGAGCCTGCTATTTTGGACTCTCGCACAACACCTCAGGGAGGAGGGAGCGGCTGAAAAACATCTCTGTATGCGATTTGTATCTCGTTACAGACAAAGCTGAGTCGTCTCCTTTTGTCTCAAATAATTATAATGTTCTTTTGTTTTAACGTGAATGTAACTGTGTTTATTATTATTATTGTGGGGTATCTATATAGTTTTCTGATCTGGTTGGGTTCTATAAATATATAATTATAAATGAGAATGAAAAGATAAATACACATAAATATCGATAACATAAAATAAATATAAAAATACTTAAATAAATAAAAGCCCAACCAGATGGAGGCCCTCGGCAGGGGAGACCAAACGGCCGAGGGTTAGGGGGAAAGAGAAAGAAACCGGCGGACGATGCGGGCGGTATCGAGGAGCACCGCCTTCTGCATTTGAGCCCGGAGCGGTCCGCCACGTAGTCCCAGTCAAAGATCAAAAATATCCTTGACTGTGTCCGGTCCATCAGCACAATATCAGGCTTAATCGCAAGAATAGTCCTGTCTGTGATGATGGCCCGGTCCCAGTAGAGCCTGGCACGGTCGTTTTCGAGCACGGCTTCCGGCAAGTACTTGTAATACGGCAATTTCCGGTCTATTTCAGAGCGAGCTCTTGGTGTAGAATTCTGGCTACTAGGTTGTGCCTGTGCATACTCAGAGTTAGAAAGCGCCGAACAACCGGAGATGACATGCCTAAGTGACTCCCCGGGATGGCGACAAGCTCGACATACGTCGACAGTGCCATCCTTTAAGATGTAGCTCCGATAGTTGTTGGTCATAATAACCTGATCCTGTATTGCACAGACTAAACCCTCGGTTTCCCCGAAGAGTTCACTGAAACGTAGCCAGTTGAGGGAGGCGGCTGTATCTACGTGAGGCTCATGTAGAGCCCTGTAGTACCTCCCATGGAGCTCCTTCTCCTTCCATACGGTCTCCCGGTCGGAAATGCTCTGTACTGCCGGGTCTTGCCATTGCTCGTTGGCTAAGGATAGAGGGGTAAGTCCTTTATCACTAGAAATGACGTCATTATAGAATGGATCATCCGATCTCGCCAGAAAGTAATGACGGAGGCTGCACACTTCGCGATTATGCATGGTGAGCGCGCTCAGGAAGCCACGCCCACTATGCTTTCGCGGCAAGTACAGCCTCATTACCGACGATCTCGGATGATGCATTCTATGGGACGGCAGACTCGACGACTTCCAGCCTCCCGAACAAGCCGGTTTCCGAAAAGGCTTCAGTACCATAGACCACATACATACCCTGCGGCAGATTGTACAGAAGACTGAAGAGTACAATTTGCCACTTTGCCTGGCGTATGTGGACTATGAGAAAGCCTTTGATTCCGTCGAAATTTGGGCGGTGCTGCAGTCCCTTCAGCGGTGCCAAGTTGACTGTCGGTATATCGAAGTGCTGAAGTGTTTGTACAGTAGGGCTACGATGGCTATCCGAGTACAGAACCAGAGCTCGAAATCTATCCAACTGCAGAGAGGTGTAAGACAGGGTGACGTTATATCCCCGAAACTCTTCACCGCTGCTTTGGAAGACGTTTTCAAGCTACTGGACTGGAAAGGATACCGTATTAACATCAGTGGCGAGTACATCACTCACCTTCGATTTGCCGACGATATAGTCCTTATGGCAGAATCGCTCGCTGGAGGACTTAAGCACTATGCTCAATGACCTCAATAGTGCCTCCCAACGGATAGGTCTTAAGATGAACATGGACAAAACAAACATTATGTTTAATATCCATGTCACACCTATGCCGGTAGTTGTTGGGAGCACTATGCTCGAAGTTGTTGACGAGTATGTTTACCTGGGACAAATAGTCCGACTAGGTAAGTCCAACTTCGACCGAGAGGCCAATCGACGGATTCAACTCGGCTGGGCAGCGTTCGGGAAATTACGACATATCTTCTCGTCAGGTATACCTCAATCTCTAAAAACTAAATTGTACAACCAGTGCGTGTTGCCAGTGATGACTTACGGATCTGAGACGTGGTCCTTCACTGCTGGCCGTATGAGGACGCTCAAGGTCGCTCAGCGAGCTATGGAGAGTGCTATGCTCGGAGTTTCTCTGCGTGATAGACTCAGAAATGAGGATATCCGCAGAAAAACCAGAGTGACCGACATAGCCTAACGGATTAGTAAGCTGAAGTGGCAATGGGCCGGCCATATAGCTCGAAGAACTGATAACCGATGGGGAAGAAAGGTTCTCGAGTGGCAGCCTCGTACCGGTAGGCGTAGTGTAGGGCGACCCCCTACTAGATGGAGTGACGACCTGGTAAGATATGCAGAAAGTCGATGGATGCAGGTGGCTCAGGACCGTGGTTTGTGGCATTACTTGGGGGAGGCCTGTGTTCAGCAGTGGACTTGGGAAGGGCTGTAATGATGATGATGATGATGATGATGGGACGTCATTTTAGTGCGGACTTTTCTATCCAGGGCGTTAAGTTCAGTCTGACTCCACCTGAGTATGCCAAAGGTATACATGAGGACAGGCATGACCCAACCGTTATATGCACGTGTCTTATTCAAACCGGACAAAAGGCTGTTAAGCACTTTGGTCAAGCGTGCATAAAACACGTCGCAAACTGACTGTTTCATACCAGCCTCATCGATACCGATGTTCTGTGACATACCCAGGTATCGGTATGTTTCAGCCTCGGAAAGAGCCCTTAAGTTGACAGGCATAGATAAGTCTATGCCCTCAGAGTAAACAACCCTTCCCCTTTCAACATGGAGGACCGCACACTTATCAGTCCCCAGCTCCATTCCAATAGAATTGCTAAATTCACAAGTGATGTTTAGCAATTCCATAAGATTGGGAGCAACTGGAGGCGAATAATTTGAGGTCATCCATATAGAAAAGGTGGGTCACTTTTGTACCTACCTTCCGAAGCTGAAATCCCCTCCCGGAGCCCTCCAGTAAAGTAGAGAGGGTTCAAAGAGAGGCAGAACCAGATTGGACTCAGACAGTCGCCCTGGAATATACCCTTTCTTATCCTTATGCTGCTTTCCGCAGCCGTCATCCGCTCGCCCAGATGACAGATGATCGTACTTCACTGCCCCATACACTGCCCGAGGAAGTCTCGAACTGTACAGTCAATCTTGTACAGCTCGAGGACCCTCTTTAGCCATGTATGGGGCACAGAGTCAAATGCCTTTCTGTAATCTATCCAAGCGGCGGAGAAGTTCCGATGGTTGCGTTTCACCACTTTGCCAATGACCGCGGCAATGAGGAGTGGTTCCTTGGTTCCACGACCGCCGCCCCGACATCCATTTTGAGCGCGCGAAATCACCTGATTTGAGTCGAGGTGACGAGCGATTCTCGCGCTCAAAATGGATGGTAGTGTCTTGTATATAGTCGGTAGACACGTGATGGGGCGGTATTTGCTCGGGTCTGTGGCACCCTGATCTTTAGGAACCAAATGATTGATCCCAGTAGTGAAGAGGTTTGGGAGCGACTTCTGGTTGAGAGCCACTAGAAACTGTCGGGCGAGCACAGCGTGACACACCATGAACCCCTTCAGCCAGTAGTAATGCAGCCCGTCAAGCCCCGGACTTTTCCAGTTCGGGGCCCTACGGACCGCCTCAGCTACGCACACTGACTCGCCACAACTTCTGTTCAAGGGCCCTCGTTGTGGTTTACGGGCTCTGACCACAGGCTGCGCCAGAATGCGACCGTGTCGGTCTGATTTGGTGCTGGGCCCGTTCCACTTACTATTGGTCGCTCCAATGATTTGTACAGCCTCTTCTGATCACTCTGGAAGAGACGATTCTGGTTAAACCGTGTCGACCTCTCGGTATATCGCCGAATCCGCTTTCCCCAAGCAGCGATTCTTTGCCATCCTGACGGTGCGCACAATCCTTGGCCTGGTATTGCCTGACCTGAAGCATATGAGTCTGCCCTGCCGAACGTATCGCAAGGGCCCTAGCCCTTGCGATACGTTCTTCAATTCTTATTCTCCAGGCTGGGATAGCACTACTTTGTCCAGTAGCGCGTCCAGCCGTGGAAAGTTTGGCGCCTATAATACGGCAGACTGCCAGTGCGGCGCCAAAAAGAATTGAGTCCATCTCGCAAAGGTCCCGGCTGGCTTCCAAGTAGGTAACCAGCATTGGGTTCAGAGCCCTCACGACAGCCCGATTCCGCTTGCTTAGGGCTAAGCGGGGAACTCGCGGTCGATTTTCGAGAGGCGTACTGCGCGTTTCCACAATCGCCTTCTCCAATGTACTCCTCATTTGCTCTAGTTCCAGTTCCTGGGCGACTGTTCCGTCATCGTTGGAATCAACCACAAATGGCGTATTCACGGCGGCATCTATTATTATTATTATGGGGTATCTATATAGTTTTCTCATCTGGTTGGGTTCTATAAATATATAATTATAAACGAAAATAAAAGGATAAATATACATAAATATCAATAAAATAAAATAAATACAAAAATACATAAATAAATAAAAGCCCAACCAGATGGAAGCCCTCGACAGGGGAGACCAAACGGCCAAGGGTTAGGGAGAAAGGGAAAGAAACCGGCGGACGATGCGGGCAGTATCAAGGAGCACCGCCTTCTGCATTTGAGCCCGGAGCGGTCCGTCACGGAGTCCCAGTCGCCTCAGATGACCATAGAGGCTAACTGGGATTAGCCCACTCGCAGAGACGACTACAGGAATAATTTCGGCCGGCAGACCACCCCACATGTCGGTCACCTCGTGAGCCAGGTCCAGATATTTTGATTGCTTATCTGTTTCGGCTCTCACGAGGTTCTCGTCATACGGGATGGTAATATCGACCAAAAATATCCTTGACTGTGCCCGGTCCATCAGCACAATATCAGGCTTATTCGCAAGAATAGTCCTGTCTGTGATGATGGCCCGGTCCCAGTAGAGTCTGGCGCGGTCATTTTCGAGCACGGCATCCGGCAAGTATTTGTAATACGGCAATTTCCGGTCCACGAGACCGTATTTCAGAGCGAGCTCCTGGTGTAGAATTCTGGCTAATAGGTTGTGCCTATGCAAGTACTCAGAGTTAGAAAGCGCCGAACAACAGGAGATGACATGCCTAAGTGACTCCACGGGATGGCGACAAGCTCGACAGACGTCGACGGTGCCATCCTTTAAGATGTATTTCCGATAGTTGTTGGTCTTAATAACCTGATCCTGTATTGCACAGACAAAACCCTCGGTTTCCCCCGAAGAGGTCACCGAAACGTAGCCAGTTGAGGGAGGCGACTGTATCTACGAAGGGTTCATGTAGAGCCTTGTACTACCTCCCGTGGAGCTCCTTCTCCTTCCATACGGTCTCCCGGTCGGAAATGTTTAGCACTGCTGGGTCCTGCCATTGCTCGTTGGCTAAGGATAGAGGGGTAAGCCCTTTATCACTAGAAATGACGTCATTATAGAATGGATCATCCGATCTCGCCAAGAAGTACTGACGGAGACTGCTCACTTCGCGATTATGCATAGTGAGCGCGATCAGAAAGCCACGCCCACCATACTTTCGCGGCAAGTACAGCCTCATTACCGACGATCTCGGACGATGCATCCTATGGGACGTCATGGTAGTGCGGACTTTTCTATCCAGGGCGTTAAGCTCAGTCTGAGTCCACCTGAGTATGCCAAAGGTATACATGAGGACAGGCATGACCTAGCCGTTATATGCGTGTGTCTCATTCACACCGGACAAAAGGCTGTTAAGCACTTTGGTCAAGCGTGCATAAAACACGTCGCAAACTGACTGTTTCATACCAGCCTCATCGATACCGATGTTCTGTTACATACCCAGGTATCGGTATATTTCAGCCTCGGAAAGGGTCCTTTATTTGACGGGCATAGACAAGTCTATGCCCTCAGAGTTAGCAACCCTTCCCCCTTTCAACATGGAGGACCGCACACTTATCCGTCCCCAGCTCCATTCCAATGGAACTGCTAAATTCACAAGTGATGTTTAGCAGTTTCATAAGATGGGAGCGACTGGAGGCGAATAACTTGAGGTAATCCATATAGAAAAGGTGGGTTACTTTTGTCCCTCTTTTCCGTAGCTGAAATCCCCTCCCGGAGCCCTCCAGTAAGGTACTGAAGAGAGAGGCAGAACCAGATTGGACTCAGACAATCGCCCTGGAAGATACCCCTTCTTATCCTTATGTGGTTCTCCGCAGCCGTCATCCGCTCGCCCAGATGACAAAGTATCGTACTCCACTGCCCCATACACTGCTCGAGGAATCTCTAACTGTACAGTCAATCTTGTACAGCTCGAGGACCCTCTTTAGCCATGTATGGGGCACCGAGTCGAACGCCTTTCTGTAGTCTATCCAGGCGGCAGAGAAGTTCCGACAGTTGCGGTTCACCACTTTGCCTATGACCGCGTCAATGAGGAATGGTTCCTTAGTTCCACGACCACCGCCCCGACATCCATTTTAAGCGCGTGACATCACCTGGTTTAGCTCCAGGTGACGAGTGATTCTCGCGCTCAAAATGGATGTCAGTGTCTTATATATGGTGGGTAGACACGTGATGGGGCGGTATTTGCTCGGGTCTGTGGTATCCTGATCTTTAGCAACCAAATGAGTGATCCTAGTTTTGAAGAAGCACGGGAGTAATTTCTGGTCGAGAGCATCTTGAAACTGTCCGGCGAGCACAGCGTGACACACTACGCAGCCCTTCAGCCAGTAATGATGCAGCCCGTCAAGCCCCGGACTTTTCCAGTTCGGGGCGCTACGGACCGCCTCAGCCACGTCTTCTGGCGTTATGGTGACGGGGTCCATAGGCGTAACACTCACACCCTGGCTCGCCACAACTTCCATCCAAGGGCCCCCACTGTGGTTTACGGGCTCTGAACACAGGCCACGCCAGAATGCGATAATGTCAGCCTGATCCGGTCCTTGACCCGCTCCACATAACTTTGGTCGCTCCAATAATTTATAGAGCCTCTTCTGATCACTCTGGAAGAGACGATTCTGGTTGAACTGCCTTGACCCCTCGGAAAATCGTCGAATGCGCTTCCCCCAAGCATCGATCTTTTGCTTCAGGTCGTCTATGCGCTCCGTTAGTTTCTGCGTGATATCCGGCTGGGACAAACTGATATTTGTCCCAGCAAACGCCATCATTACGGTGCGCATAATCCTCCGTCTATTATTACCCGACCTGAAGCTTGTCAGTCTGCCGATAAGGGCCCTTGCCTTTGCGATACGGTCCTCGATTCTTTTCCTCCAGGCTGGGATGGCGTTACTTTGTGTAGCAGCGCGTCCAGCCATGGGAAGTTTGGCGCCAATAATACGGCAAACTGCCACTGCGGCGCCAAAGAGAATCGAGTCCGTCTCGTAAAGGTCCCGGCTGGCTTCCAAATAGGTCACCAGCATTGGGTTAAGAGCCCTCACGACAGCCCGATTTCGCTTGCTTAAAGGTATGCGGGGAAGTCGCGGTCGATTTTCGAGAGGGGTGCTGCGCGTTTCCAAAATCGCCTCTTCCAATATACTCCTCATTTCCTCTAGTTCGTGGGAGACTATTTCATCGTCGTTCGAATCAACCACAACAGGAAGATCCATGACGGCTTCCACGTGTGGATGCTGGTCTGTCGAATGTGGAGCTGCATCTCCAGCCATAGCCGATTCATTCGACGACGGAATAGCCTCACGTCGTAGTCGTTCGAGTTCGGCATCATCAAATATTTTCGAGCGCATGATGTACCGAACTCGGTCTGCCAGGTTTTGTTCCGTGACGGGGATATACGGCTCCAGCTCAGCAAAAAAAGCAATGCATCCGAGACCTATACGCTATTCCCACAGTTTCTTCCCCTTTCGCCTTATAGTACGCCCGCAATGCGTTTTCGTTCATGGATTTTGTCCAACGCATGCGACGTGCTCCACCAGCGGTGGGTGCCGCTTGCTGGGTCCGAGAAGACCCAGCCGACACCAAGCCTTCTGGTGGGGATGATGGATGCGAGGGGCTGCTAGGTGATCGTGCATCTCCTCGCGCTCGGCTGGCGGGTCGCATGCTGCCGCGTCCAGCGCCAGCTCAAGAAGCGCCCCGGCGACCCCCAGGTAGCGACCCTATACGCGTTCCTTTTTGTGTTTCTTCCATCATCCATTTTATGGGTGCTAAATAATGGGAGACGCCCAAGCCCGGCACCGTTTCGTGGTTGGGTCATATGCACAAACGGATCCTTGCATCTACAATTTTGCCTAGGCACGGCGCTCACACCTCTTGGCAGGATGCTGTCTGACTGCGCCGACGTCGCAGTTTTGTCACATAACTTTTACGTCAGCGGGCGATGGGGTCGTCACTTCCCTATGCCTTTTTTTTATTATTATGGAATATCTATATAGTTTTCTCATCTGGTTGGGATGTATAAATATATAATTATAAACGAAAATGAAAAGATAAATATACATAAATATCAATAAAATAAAAAATACATAAATAAATAAAAGCCCAACCAGATGGAAGCCCTCAGCAGGGGAGACCAAACGGCCAAGGGTTAGGGGGAAATTATTATTATTATTATTTGGAGTATCTACAGAGTTTTCTCATCTGGTTGGGTTCTATAAATATATAATTATAAAAGAAAATGAAAAGATAAATATACATAAATATCAATAACATAAAATAAATATAAAAGTACATAAATAAATAAAAGCCCAACCAGATGGAGGCCCTCGGCAGGGGAGACCAAACGGCCGAGGGTTAGGGGGAAAGGGAAAGAAACCGGCGGACGATGCGGGCGGTATCGAGGAGCACCGCCTTCTGCATTTGAACCTGGAGCGGTCCGCCACGTAGTCCCAGCCGCCTCAGATGACCCGAGAGGCTGACTGGGATTAACCCGTTTGCAGAGACGACTACAGGAATAATTTCGGTTGGCAGACCACCCCACATGTCGGTCACCTCGTGAGCCAAGTCCAGATATTTTGTTTGCTTGTCTGTTTCGGCTTTCACGAGGTTCTCGTCATACGGAATGGTAATGTCGACCAAAAATATCCTTGATTGTGCCCGGTCCATCAGCACAATATCAGGCTTATTCGCAAGAATAGTCCTGTCTGTGATGATGGCCCGGTCCCAATAGAGCCTGGCGCGATCATTTTCGAGCACGGCTTCCGGAAAGTACTTGTAATACGGCAATTTCCGATCCACGAGACCGTATTTCAGAGCGAGCTCCTGGTGTAGAATTCTGGCTACTAGGTTGTGCCTGTGCAAGTACTCAGAGTTAGAAAGCGCCGAACAACCGGAGATAACATGCCTATGTGACTCACCAGGATGGCGACAAGCTCGACAGATGTCGACGGTGCCATCCTTTAGGATGTATCTCCGATAGTTGTTGGTCTTAATAACCTGATCCTGTATTGCACAGACAAAACCCTCGGTTTCCCCGAAGAGATCACCAAAGCGTAGCCAGTGGAGGGAGACTACTTTGTTTACGAAAGGCTCATGTAGAGCCTTGCAGAACCTCCCGTTGAGCTCCTTCCCCTTCCATACGGTCTCCCGGTCGGAAATGCTCTGCACTGCCGGGTCTTGCCATTGCTCGTTGGCTAAGGATAGAAAGAAAGAAAGAAAGAAAGAAAAAAACATTTATTCACGGTCTAATCACAATAGATATAAAACAAAGCAAGAAATTGGAATTAAACAGAAAATAAAACAATATTAAATTAACAAAAATGTAAAAAATAATATAAAATGAGTCTGTGTAGCAGCATAAGACCGTGAAATGGACAGGACTCAGTAAAAATCGAGATACAGAAACACGAATTGCTCTGATCCCGACACTGGTTTTCAGTCCGGCCCGCACTCCGACGTAACTCGGACGGCTGCCTCAATGCACATGCTATAATGCGACGCGGAGTATATAAAAAAATATATGTTTTTAAATTTTAATTCACATAAATAGTGGATATCATTAGTCTAATGAAGGTAAGTACAAAATAGAATTAACCTTCTCCTTCTAAATATATCAATTTTATTTATTAAGAATGCGGAATAAACGTTGGCTAAAGAATAAAGGTAAGAAAATGATTGTCAGGAAAAGTAAATTTATTATATAAATATTTAAATAAAATAGTTTTATATATTATATAAAGTGAAAATTAAAAATATCTACATAATTTATGGGACTGAGATTACTGATGTGTTGAAAGAACTTAACCTCCTACCAGTTTATTTTATAGATCGGTATTTTTTTGTTCCGAAAGTAAGTGTAACCTGCATTTGATTTTAAACCCACTAATTGTTTTCAGGTCACGCAGTGGAGGCGGGAGATTATTCCAACATTTAGTGGCATTATATTTAAAACTACCTCTGAAAGCGGCCGACCGGTAGAAAGGATATACTAACTTGTAATTGGATGATCTGGTATTATACTGCTTATTTTGATCTTTAGACCAAATCAACTTATTATATAAATATAATGGTTCTTTATTTTTAATAACTCCAAACAGAAGTGAGGCAAAGTGTAGTCGCCTGCGACAGTCCATTTTTAAAATATTAGCGTTATTAATGAAAGGGGTTACATGTGCACGTGGTGGTACATTGAAACAAAAGCGTGCACAGGCATTCTGTACCCGTTGTATTATTTGCTGTGTTCGAGATAATAGTCGTGGGCCTATGAGAGAATCCGCGTAATTGAATTTTGAAAGCACGATAGACTCGCAGAGATGTATACGTAAGGGGACACTTAGGTACTCGCGAATACGGTAAAGTACTTTCAACCTATAAAAGCAGTTACGTGCAATATCCATTACATGTTTCTCAAAACGAAGTTATATATATATTCTAGATATAGAGGGGTAAGGCTAGGTATAGAGGGGTAAGTCCTTTATCACAAGAAATGACGTCCTTATAGAATGGATCATCCGATCTCGCCAGGAAGTAATCACGGAGGCTGCACACTTCGCGATTATGCATGGTGAGCGCGCTCAAGAAGCCACGACCACCATGCTTCCGCGGCAAGTACAGCCTCATTACCGACGATCTCGGATGATGCATCCTATGGGACGTCATGGTAGTGCGGACTTTTCTATCCAGGGCGTTAAGTTCAGTCTGAGTCCACCTGAGTATGCCAAAGGTATACATGAGGACAGGCATGACCCAGCCGTTATATGCTTGTGCCTTATTCACACCAGACAAAAGGCTGTTAAGCACTTTGGTCAAGCGTGCATAAAACACGTCGCAAACTGACTGTTTCATACCAGTCTCATCGATACCGATGTTTTGTGACATACCCAGGTATCGGTATGTTTCAGCCCCGGAATGGGTCCTTAAGTTGACGGGCATAGATAAGTCTACGCCCTCAGAGTTAGCAACCCTTCCCCTTTCAACATTGAGGACCGCACACTTATCCGTCCCAAGCTCCATTCCAATGGAATTGCTAAATTCACAAGTGATGTTTAGCAATTCCATAAGATGGGAGCGACTGGAGGCGAATAACTTGAAGTCATCCATATAGAAAAGGTGGGTCACTTTTGTCCCTCCTTTCCGTAGCTGAAATCTCCTCTCGCAGCCCTCCAGTAAGGTACTGAGGGGGTTCAGAGAGAGGCAGAACCAGATTGGACTCAGACTATCGCCCTGGAAGATACCCCTTCTTATCCTTATGTGGTTCTCCGCAGTCATCATCCGCTCGCCCAGATGACAAAGGATCGTACTCCACTGCCCCATACACTGCTCGAGGAAGTCTCTAACTGTACAGTCTATCTTGTACAGCTCGAGGACTCTCTTTAGCCATGTATGGGGCACCGAGTCGAATGCCTTTCTGTAGTCTATCCAGGCGGCGGAGAAGTTCCGACGGTTGCGTTTCACCACTTTGCCAATGACCGCGTCAATGAGGAGTGGTTCGTTGGTTCCACGACCACTGCCCGACATCCATTTTGAGCGCGCGACATCACCTGATTTGAGTCCAGGTGACAAGTGATTCTCGCGCTCAAAATGGATGTTAGTGTCTTGTATATGGTCGGTAGACACGTGATGAGGCGGTATTTGCTCGGGTCTGTGGTACCCTGGTCTTTAGGAACCAAATAAGTGATCCCAGTAGTGAAGAGGCTTGGGAGCGACTTCTGGTTGAGAGCCTCTTGAAACTGTCGGGCGAGCACAGAGTGACACACCAAGAACCCCTTCAGCCAGTAGTGATGCAGCCCGTCAAGCCCCGGACTTTTCCAGTTCGGGGCCCTACGGACCGCCTCAGCTACGTCATCCGGCGTTATGATGACGGGGTCCATGGGCTACCCGCACACTGACTCGCCACAACTTCCGTCCAAGGGCCCTCGTTGTGGTTTACGGGCTCTGACCACAGGCTGCGCCAGAATGCGACCGTGTCGGTCTGATTTGGTGCTGGGCCCGTTCCACTTACTATTGGTCGCTAAGATTATAATTTTTGGTGTTGACGAAGTATTTTCAATTTCTTTATGGTAATTTTTTCCATTTTTGCATGTACATGGTCTGAAGTCTCTTTATCTTTGGGTTCATTTTCAATTTTGTATTCATTTGATATACCCGTATTAGTAGGATTTATATCATTATCATCATCATTACAGCCCTTCACAAGTCCACTGCTGAACATAGGCCTCCCCCAAGTAATGCCACAAAGCACGGTCCTGAGCCACCTGCATCCATCGACTTCCTGCATGTCTTACCAGGTCGTCACTCCATCTAGCGGGGGGTCGCCCTACACTACGCCTACCGGTACGAGGCTGCCACTCGAGAACATTTCTTCCCCATCGGTTATCGCTTCTTCGAGCTATATGGCCGGCCCATTGCCACTTCAGCTTACTAGTCCAGTGGGCTATGTCGGTCACTCTGGTTTTGCTGCAGATATCCTCATTTCTGAGTCTATCACGCAGAGTAACTCCGAGCATAGCCCTCTCCATAGCTCGCTGAGCGACCATGAGCGTCCTCATACGGCCAGCAGTGAAGGACCACGTTTCTGATCCATAAGACATCTCTGGCAACACGCACTGGTTGTACACTTTAGTTTTCAGAGATTGAGGTATACCTGACGAGAAGATGTGTCGTAATTTCCCGAACGCTGCCCAGCCGAGTTGAATCCGTCGATTGACCTCTTGGTCGAAGTTGGACTTACCTAGTCGGACTATTTGTCCCAGGTAAACGTACTCGTCAACAACTTCGAGCATAGTGCTCCCGACAACTACCGGCATAGGTGTGACATGGACATTAAACATGATCTTTGTTTTGTCCATGTTCATCTTAAGACCTATCTGTTGGGAGACACCATTAAGGTCATTGAGCATAGTGCTAAGGTCCTGCAGCGATTCTGCCATAAGGACTATATCATCGGCAAATCGAAGGTGAGTGATGTACTCGCCATTGATGTTAATACAGTATCCTTTCCAGTCCAGTAGCTTGAAAACGTCTTCCAACGGAGCGGTGAAGAATTTCGGGGATATAACGTCACCCTATCTTACACCTCTCTGCAGTTGGATAGGTTTCGAACTCTGGTTCTGTACTCGGATACCCATCGTAGCCCTACTGTACAAACACTTCTCCACTTCGATATACCGACAGTCAACTTGGCACCGCTGAAGGGACTGTAGCACCGCCCAAATCAAAGGCTTTCTCATAGCCCTGGTTTCGCTCGATCGCTTCTTTAATATGAGCAGTATTAAAGTTGCGTAAATCTCGCCGCACGCATTTGGAGATCTGTCTGTTCAGTTGCCTGTATGCTGTCAAATCTTTTGACGATTGCAGCTTCATCTCCCGTCTAACAGCCATGAGATTAAGAGTGTGATCGGAGAGTTTTTGTGTTCTTCCGCGGCGGGTCTTGCAGAACTTAGCTTCGACCGCATGGACAGTTCCACGAGCTTGTCATTCATATCGTCCACTGCATTGCAATCTTCTAGACACTGAAAGCGGTTACGAAACTCGAGCTGAAAAGTCTCGGGATTCTGGATCAGAGCACGAGGGGGACGGAGCGTTGACTTCATTAGACGAGACCTCTCCAACTTAAGGTTTAGGTTCAGTGTGCCTCTAACCATTCGGTGATCGCTGCCGGTTTTCACCCTTGAGATCACTGAGACATCACTGAACAGTTGGCGTTAGGTCGTCTTAATGAAGTCAATCTCATTTTTTGTCGAACCGTCGGGGCTCGACCAGGTCCACTTCCTGTGAGTCCGCTTCTGGAAGAAAGAGTTCATCATAAAGTGTCCCTCTTTCTCCATAAAGTCAGCCAGCTGCTGGCCCCTACGGTTCCGTTGCTCTACTCCAAATTTCCCTAACTTCAGCTCACCGCTTTCTCTTGTGCCTAGTTTTGCGTTTAAGTCTCCCATCAACACCGTGTAGTGGGTTTTGGAGGAATGCATGGCTCTAGAAATATCCTCATACATTTCCTCCACCTCCTCATCGGGATGTGCCGAGGTTGGTGCGTAGACCTGTATGACCTTCAGCGAATACCGTTTGGTGATTCTGAGTATCAGGTACGCGGCCCTCGTCGACACACTCCCAATATTTACAATGTTGTTGACGAGAGACTTGTGGACGATAAATCCGACACCTCCTTGTGACAGATGGTCGCCCTCCCGGTGATAGAACAAGTTACCGGACTCGAGGATAACCGTGTCCTCCCCCTCTCTTCAGACCTCAGATAATCCAATAATATGCCAGCGCAACTTGTCTACCTCTTCTTCCAGTTCCAGTATCTTCTCGTCAGTCATCAGTGTGCGTGCGTTATACGTTGCCAGGTCGAGTCGTCGTAGGTGGCAACCGAACCTCCACCGGAGATTCTTAGCACCCCTGCTCCGCCGTTACCATGGTCGCCACCGTGGCCAGGAATAGCGGGGCCGCCGGGGACTGGGGGCCGTTAATTTGCATCGTTACTCATGGGGGGATATTTGCCATAGTTGCCACGCTTGGCGAGCGGGTTGGCAACCGCAGTTTTTTATTATGTTATTGTTGTTATTAGGAAGATGCTGCTGCCCATCTCCTTTCTGTGTCCCTCTGTCGCCTCTTACGACACCCACGGGAAGATATGGGGTAGTGGATATTCTCAACCGCTACTACACGGCACTTAGTGGTGATATTCTAGGCGTCTTAGTTTGCAAATAAATCATTTTTTCCTTAATGGAATAGGTGTTCGCTTTGCAATGAGTGCAAGTAATCTTATCATCACCAGTAAGGTTTTTCAAGCAGTGTATAGTTTTGTCTTTCTCTTGTAATTTTATTAAATAATTGAATATGCGAATTTAGGTCTGCAATTTCATTGTGTGCTGATTCTAGTTCCGTTTTTACTGAGGACAATTGTAGGCTTAACTCATCGACAGTTGATTTATTTAGGGTGTGGATTATATGGTGACTGTGACCAGTTGTATCAAACAGAGAGTAATTTGTTAACGACTGACTTATTTGGAAGTTCTCAGGGTCATCAGAGAAAGTTCTCTTTCGTCTTCTCATTGTAATGTTTTCCATAATTTTATTCGATTTTATTAAATGTCAATTACCTAATAACCTTACAATGTAAAATAAAAGTCAAACAAATATCAAATTAAAAAAAATTAAATAAATAACAGAAGTAATGTTCAAAATTATACAAAGTATAAACAAGAAATAAAAGGTAAATTAAGTAAAATTAAGACTTAAACATAAATTTTAAATTACTACAACATTAAACAACTAGTAAAAACTATGTCTGATAAAAAAGGCTATAATATAATTAGGCTGGTTTAGAACTCAGATTTCTCGAAATCGTTCGGTAACCATATGTGTTACAATCCATTAAACCAATCTAGTACATAATATTGCAGTCAAAATAACGTTCTAGTTATCAAAACTTTCGTTAAACGTAGAAATAATGAGTTTATTTGAAATTTAGTAACACCGTCTTTACAATATTATTACAATTAACACAACAATCATTTTACACAAATGTTCCAATTTCAAATTTTGTTTTCACTCACAGTTTTAGAAAATGTTAATAAAGTTTTGGTAAGTTTGTAATTAATTGTTTTTTGAACACTTGAAAGTTGTTTATAACCACGTTGTTTTAGAATGATATTTAAAATATTGCTTAATTGTAATGCAAAATAACACTCTCACTTCTTTACTGATATGTTTACGTCGCACTCTAAAATAAGGAAGAAATTGAAAAGGCTGAATCTGTAATCCGTCAAATAAATTATTTTCATTTTCATTACCAATATTTCCTTCAACCATTAATGGTATGCTTAAAGTAGTTGATTAGCGGATTTGTCATCACAAACTTGAGTTCGCGGTCCGCACTCTACCATTACGCTACTGTCGCTTTATTAATTCGCTGTTGTTCTCTTCACGGTTGAGATCTATTTATACAACTACCGCACGTATTTTGACGTTGCACTTGCAGCTACGTGGCGCGCAATATGCGACGATATGCACATTCATAAATCTAAATCGTTTCGGAAGAACAACGCATTCGTCTCTCGTAGTAGAAGAGGCAACAGAGCGTTACAGTATAACTCTGTAGGGTTGGTATCTGTTCGAGACGGAAGCATACATTTATTAAAATTTACTTAAACTATTAAAGTCCACTGCTGAACACAGGCCTCTCACATATATTGCTGCATGGTGGGGGGGGGGATATTTGTTATAGTCATTGCCACGCTTGACGATTAGGTAAGTAACTGCAGATTCTTATTTTTAGTCGTTATTAGGAAGACGCTGCTGCCCATCTCCTGATTTGTTTCCCATTGTCGCGACTAACGACATCTACGGTATTAATATTCACGGATATTTACTGAATATTGACTGATTCGAATGAACAATAGTTGACTTATAGTATTTATTGGAATTTAATTTAAAATGAATATGTATTTTTAATTATATATTAATTAATATTAAAACTCTATCTTAAACTGCTACCCCCTTACAGGGAGTTATATACTCCGTTAATATATTATACCAACATTGTACTTTGTGACATGTAATAAAAAAATTATGAATTACTGAGTAGTGGATATTCTTACACCGCCACAACACGGTAAAATGAAATTTATTAAGAACGAAATTAATTTTTACGCCATCTCGCTATACACATTATTCTGAAAACAATTATTACTGCTTCGTTTTAGCATTACTTATTATATGATATTTAACCTTTAAGTAGTGACGTGGGTGTCTCACAGACGGCCTCGATGCAAAAATCAGTCTCGTGGCGTTAATTTTTTAAAGACGCTCCCGCCCCTCCCGCTACCTTCGGGTTTCGGTGATGTGATCGGTCAGTCGAGTGCTCGCGCTCGTAGCAGCAACACCTGTACCTGTACGACCGTTTGGTGTCCCTGAGACGAGAGGTCAGTATTTGCGTAAATGATTTATTAGACGTCACTACAGTATTAGTGTATTTTTTTCTAAGTGTCTCTTATTCGTCACCTCACTGTGTACGTTATTATTTTAGATGGATAAAACTGGACCTTCAGGAAACAAGCGAAAGCGAGTAGCTCTAAATACTTCGACAAATGAAAAGATCTTAAGTCAGTGGATAGAGGCTGAGTTGGAGCGAGAGTTCAGTGTTGTGGATGATGAAGAAGTGGATCCAGATTTCTGTTTGCACAGTGATCATAACTCGGCTTCAGAACAATCTGAGGATGAAGAAACTCAATCTCAACGACAAAGATCACCCCGAAGTTCAGTTGCGATGCAAGATTCAGGTCTATCTTCAATACAAGATAATATACACACAGAATCCCAAAGATACTACATAGGTAATAATGGTTTTAAATGGTCAAGCGATGAACCAGTGATTCATAACTGTCGTTCACTAAGCCACAACTTGGTTGACATATCTAAGTCACAGCCTAGAGCATTCACTAACCTAGAAACCTTGTGGAGACATTTTATGGATGACGATATTACTGAAAAAATAAATTGAATATATCAACAAAAAACTTGCCCAGATACGGGTAACATATAAAAATCAGGAAAAATTTGAGCTTCGGAACACGGACGCAGAAGAAATGAAAGGCTTTCTTCGGGTTATTATTTTACTCATCTGTCTTCAAATCTAACTATGAGAATGCCAAATACACTCGTATCTTAGCTACAGATGGTTCAGGCCGAGAGATATTTCGTGCAGTTATGTCTCAGTATAGATTTCTTACACTTTTTGAACTGCATTCGCTTTGGCGATGTAGAAACCAGACAGCAACGACTAGAGACTGACAAACTGGTAGCAATTTCGGATATATTTGAAAGTTTATATCTAATTGCAAAAAAAGTTTATGTACCCGGTGCTTATGCTTATGCGTAGATGACATGCTTGTTCCCTTTAGAGACTGATGCAAGTTCATAATTTACATGCCCAAAAAAATGAGCAAAATACGGACTTAAAATTTTGTTAGTTTGTGATGCTGAGACATTTTATGTTTATAATGCTTATATCTACTTTGGCAAGGAATTGGACGGTTTAGGTTTACCAGAAGATGACAAAAAGTTTGCAATTCCCACACAGTCTATTTTGCGACTTTGTAAAGACTTTGAGAACACCAATCGTAACATCACTGCTGACAACTGGTTCAGCTCTTATGAGCTAATGGAGCAGCTAAAACAGAGAGGTTTGACTTATGTTGGAACTCTAAAAAAAAATAAACGTCACATTCCACCTGAATTTCAAGAGTCCAAAACAAGAGAACCTGAAACAGCATTGCATGGATTTACAAAAGACTTTACTTTGGTTTCTTATGTTCCCAAGAAATCTAAAGCAGTTTTACTGATTTCGTCCATGCATCACACGTCCGAAATTGATCCCGTTAGCAAGAAACCGGTTATCATAATGGAGTATAATAAGACAAAGGGTGAGGTTGATGAAGTTGAAAAAAGATGTTCGAACTATTCCTGTAGCCGCCGCACTCGCAGATGGCCTTTAGCATTATTTTTGAGATTGCTAGACTTGAGCGGAGTGAATGCCTTTGTGCTTTATAGGCAGTGTGATGACGTATTAGACATATAAAGAGGACGATTCTTACAGGATCTTGCCCGAGAATTAGTTTTACCACATTTACAACGACGAATCTTCGATGAACTTCTTCCAAGAGAGCTAAGACTGACAATGAAACGAATTCTTGGCGAAGATTTACCGCCAGAACCTAGCCGCATTGAGTCAGCTGTTGGTGAAAATGACAAAAAGACTTGTAAGGTGTATCCAGCAAGGCTGAAGCGACGCACAAGGTACAAATGCGTTGCATGTCATAAGCCTATATGCTTAGGCTGTTCCAAAACAATCTGCAGCGACTGTACTGACTGAGACTGAAATGAGAAGACTGTTTCTGTGGTAGTTCCTATATTATTTTAGTAATTAAGTTGAAGAAGTAAGAAATTTTATTTTTTTGTTAAAAATAAGTCTGTTTGCTTATTTCATAACACTTAAGAAGTGCGTCTTTTATAGAATGTGATTTTTTCGTAACTTTTGCCAAATGTCCTAATAAATGTTGATTAATGCTTAAACTGGGTTTAATTTTAGTCTATATCATTAAAAAGAGGGTTTTTATTTTTATTTTATACAAAAAATTTTTTTATTAATAATTAAGTTCATACTATTGACATAAATTGCTTAGACGTCTATAAAACGTCACATCACCATTTATGAGTCATCATCACATCACTACTTAAAGGTTAAAAAATCTCTTGGAAACAGAAAGTCTTGTTCCAGTAGTAAAACGAGGCTATAACTAAAGACCGACGCTTAAGTTTATTTTAAAACATGAAAGAAGATATCATAATCGTATCGGAATTTATACCGCTGGTGAGAGAAAGTTTCACAAAAATGTCCTGTTGTTGATGATGGCCATGATTAATTAGCATAAAGTTGCATATTGGACTTACAAATTGCTGTAATTAATGAAACAAAGCTGAGAGAGGCATGTTAGATCAGAAACTAAGCGCTCGATATAAAAATCACAGTAAAAATAACCTCCGGGCTCAGTACTCGCCAGCACCAATGAAATTGAAAATTGCGATTTTAAGTCTTAATTTTATTATGTGCTCAATATTTAAGGAATTTTGAGAACAAGTCAAATCTACGAACACGCATTAAAACAGTGCGTCGGACTATTTTAATAGAAAAAGGGTCACAAACGAGAACACTGTTCACCTGACGGTAAATGGATTCCGGTTCTCTACACTAACTATACGAAACCACAGTAGCATAAAGCTGCTATTTTACGCTGGTGTACTACGAGAATGCGATCCCATCCCGTTTCAACCAATCAGCTACAGCGTGGCTCTATTAAATATAAACTTATTGCTCTTTAATCCTAACTGTCCTGTTAGAGGTTTTTTTTTGCGAACCAGCGGTAAATTAAAAAAGTGACGTTCAATAAATATTGTTATAATCTACATTGAATAAAAAAGTTTCTGTTTCTGTTTCAATCTAGTGTTTGTACTCATCGTTACTGATCATGAGGTCTCGGATTAGAATCAGTTAGTGAGTTTTTATTGTCATTAAAATTCTCAGTAGCAGCTCAGAGTCAGGAAGTGTACGTTGTTAACCCCTCTCTCGGAAAGCACGTAAAGCCGGTGTCCCTTCATCTTATCTTACTCCGGTCATCTCGGATTACTGTCCCATCGGACTAAGAGAATGAGGGAATAGAGAGTGCACCTACATATGTTTGGGCATACACTCGGGTATTATAATCCTGTCATGTGTAGATAGCTATTCTCCGTTGAGACTGACCACCGTTGTCGAAATTCGGTCTGGAGGACATAATTTATAATGCTCTCAGAAATTAGTACTTGTGCCAGTGGGACAAATAAATCTGTAAACTAACTCGACATTAATGAAACAAAAATTAAAGTTTATACACATTTCGCACGCCCTGCTATGTCTTAAACATAAGCTTGAGATACGTAACGTCAGTATATTGCATCACTTCCAGCAAACATATTATGTAGTGAAAAGTGTAGAATATTTCGTCTTCTCGTTTACTATGAGTAATATAAACGTAAGGTATCGCGTATTTATTATATAATTCAAGATTCAATATTATAATTCAATCAATTCTTTTGAGATCATACTTAATCGATTATTACATTTTTAATTTTTTTCCAATTTAGATTTTGTATGTACTAAAGGTTGCAAACGAGCAGGCAGCTCAGCTGGTGGTGAGTGAATACTGCCGCCAATGAACAATCGTAACGTCAGGGAAATTGCAGATGAGTTCCCGGCTTTTAAATAAAGTTTAGGCCCTTAGAAAAATAATCTTTTTTATATAAAAGGAAGCAAACGAGCATGCGGCTCACCAGGGAACACCAGGGAAGTTGCAGGTGCGTGCGTTTTAAAAAGGAGTAAGCTCTTTTCTGAAAAGGTCCCTAAGTCCTATCAATCCGTAAAAATCTTCAGTGGTAAACAATTTCACATAGAAGTTTTACTAGGCAGAAAACTCATAGTGTGGGTAAACGTGATGGACCGCCAATTATCCAAACGGTGAGGATGGTACCGTGAATTTTGACGCGATGTGCGTTCGTGAAATTTGGCGACTGGAATAATTCCGAACAATTTCGCAGAACACTCCCTGAGGTAGATGCGATAGAAAATGCGAAGAGATGCAACATCACTATGCTGCGCTAGTGAATCGAGCTGATCAGAAAGAACTCGGTCGTCGACGATTCGAATTGCTCTGCGCTAGATGCGGCCTAGTGTGCTCCGGGGTGATAGGGGTGCCTCGGCCCAGAGATGAGAATAGTATTCCTTGTGGGGCTGAACTTGCGCTTTGTAAAGTTGTGAGTGATTTGCCAGCATGAGATACTGTATCACTGCTGAGCATGCCATGCTTTTTAGAGGCCAATTTGGCCTTCCCCTCCAAATGATCACGAAACTGCCCACTATTCGATATGCCGACGCCGAGGATTCCGATGCTAGCTGAGGCAGCAGTGCATTGAAACTGAGAAGATTCAACAAAGGGGTTCTTTTTAGTGGTAATAGCGCAAACTTTTGTCTTCTGTGGATTGAATTGGACTAGATTTAGTCGCCCCTAGGTCGGAGTTTTCGTTCAACAAAGTCTCGACTTTAGACACAAGTTTGTCCCGGTACTCGGTGACGTTTTCCCGAGAAATATTAACACGACCGGTGAATAAAGCATCACCACTGCTGTCGCCTGTATAGTAGTGAATTTTACCAGTTTGCAACATATCGTTGATATGCAGAAGAAACAGCGTTAATGAAAGCATGCAGCCTTTAAGAACACCAGCGTTAATAGGCTTGTAATTAGAGTATGTACCATTTACTATGACCTTGATGCTTCGATCAGTAAAGAAAACGCAAGGAAGCTTCGAAAGAAGGGCTTTGTGCCAAACCCGATTGAAGACCTTCGCTATGTACAAATTAACGTCCAAAGCATCCCCCTTGAAGTCTACTGCCTCCGCCCATCTTTGAGTCAGATAGAACAGAGGATATCCAGCTGATCGACTACGATGGAAACCATATTGGCGGTCACTAATCAGCTGGTGATTCTCAAGGTACCTAATGAGCTGGTAGTTTACAATAGACTCCATTGTTTTGGAGAACAAGGAGGTAATGGCGATAGGCCTTTAGTTGGATTGGTTTGAGCGGTCGCCTTTTTGGAATCGGGTGGACCAAAGCTGTTTCCAAGAATTTTGGACTACTCCTTGGGAGTAGGAGTACAGGAAAATATGCTTTAAAACCGGTGCCAACTTCGGAGTACAGGTCTTCAGCACAATGGGAAGGATTCCATCAGGTTTGCTCAACTTT